AGTATTATGTCAAGTGTTTTGTTATGTCCTAACTTTTAAGTGTTTTGTTATTTGTCTCTCCCTACATATCAATTCAATTATTAAGTGTAATCAATTAAATGTTATTATAAATTCATTTATACTAACAATATTGAATAGTATCTAAAAATAAATATTTAACAAGATGAAACAGAAAGTGCACAATTTATGCGAGATTTGTAGCGATAAAGGAATCGGTAAATAAATTTTATTGTAAACCATGAAAAAATTATAATTATAATTATTTATGATGTGGTTTAGGGCGACATTTCGGTGCCATTACCTGTGAGTCGTGTAAAATATTCTTCAGGAGAAATGCGCTCAAAGATCAGGTATTTAACACAAAGGGTTCATTAAAAACTATTTTGTTATCAATGTATAACTGTTTAAATTACCATTTAATAGGTAATGGATTGCACTTCCGATGGAAAGTGTAAAATAAATCCGTTCACTAGGAAGTTATGCACAAAATGTAGACTTAATAAATGTTTTGCTGTGGGCATGAGAAAGGTGAGTTGTTTACATTCAGTTAATGAGAAATTACAAAATAATGTCTGTATTGACAGGAATTGATACGAAACGATAGGGAAAGGGAGGAAAGGAGACAATTAGTGGAAGAAAATAGACGCAAACGAAAGCTATTAAATAAAAGTCAAAACACGTCCTCAGAATCAAATGAGTCCTCAAATCCAGCATCAATTGAGTCAACCATATCAACCATATCTAGTGATTCTATTGACTCTTTCTTGAGTGAAATAATAGGATGTGTTTTGGACGTATCGGATGAGGACCTGGGCGCACAGATTATGGAAATTGAAAATTATGTCAATTATAAAGACTCGGATCAAAATATTGAGGCATTGAGTGCTAGACAACTGTTAGACGATATCCACCAAAAGTCGCAACAAATGTCTGTCATTCCTATGTTTAAGGAACTCACAGATTATAACGGTTTTAAACAATTGGAAATCAATAGGATTGCCGAGTTGTTGGGGTCGTCCCAGATATTTGACTACCCGTCCAGTAAAAACTTAATTAAAATGATGGACATAACAGAATACGCGAGAATTTCTATGAAAAAATGTGAAGTCTCTATCAAAGAAGTGCTAAATTATATCAAAGGGTTGACTGGATTCACGAGTTTATGTCGTGAGGATCAGTACACACTATTTAAGTACGGGTGCCCTGAGTTGGTGTTTATTAGAAGTCTTTGGTATTATAACCATGATAGCAAATATTTTAGTTTATACCTGGTAAATATTAATATGAACTTTTTTGTAATGCCTTTAACCAAAATACTATCTCATTATTAGGATAATGACACTTCAATTATAGTTGGCTTTGATTTATTTAAAGACGTGATAACCAAATATTATTTGCCATTCAAAGAATTATATGAGAAATATTTAGATCAATTTATACCCCTATGGAATCGGGATCGTGTTATATTGGAATTAGTATGTTCATATTTAAGTAGTAATAATATTAGTAATTTAAATTTATAAAATAAATTAATATTATTTATAGCTAACAGCAATTGCATTGTTTAACCCGAATCGACCCAATCTTAAGCATAGACATAGTATTAGGTAAGCTATTATAATATTTTATAAATTGTAGGTATTATAAATCTTATTTATCTGTTTCTATAATAGACTGGAACAGCAATTGTATATTTATTTACTGCAAAGATATTTACTATTGAAGTGTCGATCGGATTATGATTCTCAGGAAAGGTTGTGTCAACTAATGAACACTTTCGCCGATATCTACAAAATAACTGAATTACAAAAAGCAGCAAATATTGATGAAATTAAAAGATATCGACAAAAGTATGGACCACTAATGAGTGAGATATATGATCTACCAGGATCCGAGTAAAATCTAATTTATATACAAGTAGAAATAATCAATTTAGTTAAAAGCATTCACATTATAAATAATTACAATTTACTTTTATTAATGATTTTGGTGAATTAATAAATTTAAAAATATTTTTCTTGTAATATATCTGGGATGATTTAACCAAATGAGTCTTTGAACTCTTCTTTCAAATGACTGTAATAGTCTTAAACAGTACTATACTGTCATATTGAAAGAAGAGTTGAAAGACTCATTTCGTTAAATCATCCCAGATATCTAGTTTTTATTAACGGCAAAAGTATGTTTTTCAAAATTTGTATCAATTTAAATCAAATTAATTCATTGTTATAATTACTTACATCATTCAAATTGTACAAAAAATCATTTTCACAATTAAGAATTTATTTTAAATGCATCATTTATTTATTTACATTCAATGGCTATACTGATGCAATAATTGTAAATGTTGAATTTGCTTTTTGGTTACTGATAAAATAAATGCAAACAATCGCTTAGTGAACTTATCTACCAGATCAGTCTAAATTGGTGCACTATAAGCCCATTAAACAACATATTTCATTAGACATTACAAATTGTTTATTATTAATAAATTGTGGTTATATTTCATTGAAACTATTAAAAAAAGTAAATTGCTAAAATCTACGTGGTCGTGTCAAATAAGTTTAATTAAATATCTTTTCTGTATTTTATGTTTGAATGTCAAACTTTGAAGTGAAAAGTATAATACATAGTAAGTGTATCATATATTGTGTAATCATATATTGTGCAACATTTAATGGTTGTGCGTTTATTATTTTGACTACAAATTCAAATATTATTAACTAATATGAAAGACAATTTGAATAAAATTTGCGAGATTTGTAGCGATAAAGCATTGGGTAAATAATTTTTAAAATGAATTATTTTACAAATGAATTATTTTCTTAATAAAACTTAATTTATTAAGCCATTCATAAGTTTGTGTAAACTAATTATATTAATTGTTTATTAATTATGACCAAAATTGTGATGTCCTTTAGGCCGACACTTCGGTGCCATTGCTTGTGAATTGTGTAAAGCATTCTTCAGGAGGAATGCACTCAAAAATAAGGTAATATAAAGGGGACACAAAAATATTGACAAATATATATATATAATATTACATATTATGCTTATCAATTGTTCACAATTCATGTGAATAGGTTTGGAAATGCCTTTCGGATGGAAAGTGTAAAATAACTCCAAATACTAAAACCCTATGCAAGACATGTAGACTTCATAAGTGTTTTGCAGTGGGTATGAGAAAGGTGAGTTAATGGTGGAGCACTATTCAAGTAAAACGCAACTCGAATATTATTGTGATTTATGAATTTTTGTATGCATAGGAATTGATACTAAATGATGAGGAAAGGGAGCAAAGAAGACAATTACTCGAAGAAAATAGACGCAAACGAAAGGCATTAAATGAAAGTCAAAACACGTCCTCAGAAGTCAATGTGTCTTCAAATTCACAATCACTTGAGTCGACCATTTCGTGATTGTGGTGACAGTGACTCCTTAGATGCCATAATAGGATGTGTTTCGGATGATACCGATGAGGACCTGAGCGCACAGATCATGGAAATTGAAAATTATGTCAATAGTGAACACTCGGACCACAGTATTGAGACATTGGATGATAGACTTATGTTAAAAACACGACATATAGCTATCGTTCCTATGTTTAAAGGTCTCACAGATTATACCACTTTGAATAAATTGGAAGTCAATAAACTTGGAGAGTTACTGAGATTATCCAAAATATTTGAGTACCCATCCAGCACAAATTCGTTACAACTTACGGACATAACAAAATACTTTACGATTTCTAATAAAAGATTGGAAGAGACTGTTAAAGAATGTCTGAGTTTTAGCAAAGGGTTGAGTGGATTCACTAATGTATGCCCTGATGACCAGTACATACTATTTAAGTACGGGTGCTCAGAGATGTTACTAATTAGATGTCTTATGTATTATAACCAGGATGGCAAATATTTTAACTTTCATGTGGTAGTCAACATTGAATTTAGGAAGCATTTATAATAGACAGTAATATAAAATATTGTATTTTCATAGGATAACGACACCTCAATTATAGTTAATTATGATTTATTTAATTACGAGATGTCCAGATCTTTTTGGATGTTCAAAAATGAATTTAAGGATTATTTATGCAATTTTCTACCACTATGGAACCGGGACCGTATTATATTGGAATTGGTATGTTAATTAGCACTATTAAATTTAATTTTAACAACTTTGGTTATATACTATTTTCAGCTCAATGTTATTGCACTGTTCAATCCTAATCGACCAAATCTTAAATATAGAAAAAACATTAAGTAATGTATTTGTTTTATGATATTAATAGTGTTGTACAATAATTAACAATTAATTATTGTTTTCCATTTAATAGACTCGAACAACAATTATATATATATTTATTAAAAAGATATTTACTATTGAAGTGTCGATCGGATTGTGAATCTCAGGAGAGATTATGTAAACTAATGAACACTTTCGCCGATATCTACAAAATAATTGAAACACAAAAAGTGTATAATATTGCGGAGAATGAAATATATTTACAAACATATGGACCATTAATGAGGGAGATATTTGATTTACCAGAATCCGAATAAATTTTATATACTTTTAGAAATAATAAATATAATTAAAAACATTCAGATTGTAAATAATTACAATTTACTTTTATCAATCATTAAATTTGTTAGTATAAAGTAATGAATTAATAAATATTTTCATTTTAATATTCAGTAATATTCAGTAAATATCTAGCTTTCAATACCTACAGTATAAAAATGTTTTTGAAACTAAAGTTTTATGTGTTTATAATTACTTAAATCATAAAATTATTAAATTATACAAAAATCATTTTCACATTTATCAATTTATTGAAACTTATTAAACAATTTAATATTAAATATAATTCCTTGCATCATTTATTTACTGTACAGTATATATTATATATTCCAGGCTATAAGGATTCAGTTGTGTAAATTTTGTGAACATTATTTACTTTTAGGTTAGGCGGCATTCACAAAGTACGTACGCAAAAATTTGGTCAAAAACTGACCCCCCTCCGCCCAGGTTGCACCGTTAGTTAATACAGGTGCTATTAATTATTTTAAATATTATGTATATAATTGTATATGATAAATAAACATTATTTTAAATACATTATTCAATGATTAATTAAAATTTATACTGTATGACATACAGTGCATGCTATTATATTCTGATATGATATAATAGGCTTGTAAATTACTGTTAATTTATTAAAAATTATTATATCAACCATATACACAATTACTAAACTATAGTATGCAACTTATTATAAATAAGCTGCAAAGTTTCAAATCTAATTATTAATTAAGGGTTTTAATAGAGGTTTGCAATATTACTATACCAAGAAGCATGGCTATACAGGTGATATCAGGTCTTATCATAATATTGTACTAAATTGCTATTGATTTCTGATAACAATGCAATCAATCGCTTAGTGAGCTAGGCCAATTAAATGAAAAGTGTTTATCATCATTTTAAAAAATGTATTCAGAACTCATTGTGCAGAACATTTCATTAATCATTGAAATTACACATAAATAATACTAATTATATAATTTATAATTTCAAAAGTAATTAATTTTTAAATGAATATTTTAAAATCATATTGGTTGAGTTTAATTAGATGCTCAAAATATACTCAATAAACAAATAATATTCATAACAATGAAACAGAAAGTGTACAAAATCTGTGAGATTTGTGGTGATAAAGGGAAAGGTACGTAATAATTAATATAATTAAATAATTGTTAACTTAACCCAAATAAACGTTTTAATTGCATAAAATGTGATACCCTTTAGGGCGACATTTCGGTGCCATTACTTGCGAATCGTGTAAAATATTCTTCAAGAGGAATGGCAACAAAAATCAGGTGAATTTGGGTATAAATATATTTGTTATAATTTTCACTAACTATTGTGTATAGCTATTGGAGTGCACTTCGTATGGAAATTGCAAAATAAATCTTTACACTAGAAGGTTGTGTACAAAATGCAGGCTTAATAAATGTTTTGCTGTGGGAATGAGAAAGGTGAGTTATTGAAAGAATTCCCGTTTATTTCTAAATTAAATTGTTTGTCTGTATTGACAGGAATTCATACGAAACCACGAGGAAAGGGAGGAAAAGAGACAATTAGTGGAAGAGAATAGACGTAAACGAAAGCAATTGAATATAAGCCAGAATTCATACCCAGAATCAAATAAGTCCTCAAATCCATCATCAATGATGTCGACCATATCTAGTGATTGTGGTGTCAGTGACTCCTTCTTTAATGATATAATAGGATGTGTTTTGGATGTAAACGAAAGGGAACTGAGGGAACAGGTAATAGAAATCGAGAATTATGTTAATAATGAAGATTTGGATCAAAGTATTGAGACATTGAGTGCCAGACAACTGTTAGAGAATATAAACCAAAAGTCACGACAAATGGCTGTCATTCCTATGTTTAAAGAGCTCACAGATTATAACGGTTTGAATGAATTGGAAACTAATAAAATGACCGAGTTGTTGGGTGCATCTAAAATTTTTGA